ATTAATTTCTTTTATTTATAATTCTCAGGAATGCTCAATTTCCCAAAATATATGATGCCTTATTAAAACCCAATTAAAAAACATCACTCAAACAATTTTTCAAGGGGGTAGTCCATGAGCAACCCTGATACAGAATAGTGTGGTTTGTTTGAGGGTACACTATTGTGTCCAGCTGCTTCCTGAGGTTATGTTTTTTTCAACCTTTTCCTTTTCCTTTGCTAAAGTTTGTCTCCTTTTACTTAGCTTCATTTTTCTTGGAATCAAAACCAAAGGCTTTCCAAAGGATTAGTTTCAGCCAACCAAAAAAAAACATGAATGATCATGATACACAATAGTATGGTTTGTTTGGGGGTACACTATTGTGTCCAGCTGCTTCCTGAGGTGATTGTTTTTTGAAACATTCCATTTACCTTTTCCTTTGGCTAATGTTTGTTTCCTTTACTTAGGCTTCATGTTTCTTGGAATCAAACCAAAGGCTTTCCAAAGGAGTTTTTTTCATCAGCCACCAAAAAAAAACATGCATGATCATGATAGCACATATATGGTTTGTTTGGGGGTACACTATGTGCCCAGCTGCTTCCTAGGTGGATGGTTTTTTTCTTTTACTTGAAAGTAATTAAAGTCAATTGCAAGAACTTGAAATCAATTGAACGTAACTTGAAATGAATATGATCATATACACACTAGTATGGTTTTGTTTGAGGGTCACTATTGTGTCCAGCGCTTCCTGAGGTGGATTTTGTTTTTTTTACCTTCCCTTTACATTTTCCTTTGCTAACGTTTGTTTCTTTTATTTTCCTCAATTGTGTTTTCCTTATTTAGAATTCTCAAAATGCTGAATTGTTCCAAACTATATGATGCCTTATTAAAACCCAATTAAAAACATCAACTCATACAATTTTTTCAAAGGGGGTAGTCATGAGCAACCCAACCCTATACAACCAATAGTCTGGTTTGTTTGGGGGGTACACTATTGTTGTTCCACTGTTCCTGATGTATTGGTTTTTTTCTTTACTTGAAAGTAAATTGAAATCAAATGAAAGTAAATTGAAATCAATTGAAAGTAACTTCAAATCAATTGAAAGTAACTTCAAATCAATTGAAAGTAACTTGAAATCAATTCAAAATCAATTGAAAGTAAATTGAAATCAATTCAAAATCAATTCAAATCAATTGAAAGTAAATTGAAATCAATTCAAAATAAATTCAAATCAATTGAAAGTAAATTGAAATCAATTGAAAGTAAATTGAAATCAATTCAAAATAAATTCAAATCAATTGAAAGTAAATTGAAATCAATTCAAAATAAATTCAAATCAATTGAAAGTAAATTGAAATCAATTGAAAGTAATTTCAAATCAATTGAAAGTAAATTGAAATCAATTCAAAATCAATTCAAATCAATTGAAAGTAAATTGAAATCAATTTAAATCTATCATTTTTTTTGATTTTACCGTATTCTGTACCCGGTACCTTGTTTTTTCCACACTATTCTGTAACGCAAATTTGTTTGGGGGGGGGGCCTCCCCACACTAATCAGGAACCAACATTACTACTGAAATGGCACATCTAAAGAATGCCTACCTAGGATGCAAGGGGTCTAAGACCATCTAAGAAATCATGGCCCAGGCAACCAACTACAACAAATACAAAAAATACACCAAAAAACAAATACAAAAGTAAACCTCTAAAAAATAGGGCGTCCATGTTAGCCATGCGGACATCAACAAACATAAAAAACACCAAACGTACCCAAATGATTCCTTTGCACACCGGAGATGAAATTTGCCCTTCTTTTGCCCATGCCAGATTAGCGGCTTCTGTTTTTGTCATGGCAGATCCGAAGCTTCTGCCAAAGCGTTGTCTTTGGCTGCCTCCTCTTGTTTCATTTTTCTGGTTTGATCAAAATTGATTGTAAACAACGTATCCCCTTTTGTATTCAGTCTTTGACCCGGGTGTCCGGTTCTTTGGTGGAGGGTGCCATTGAAGAATGATAAAGAATGAAGTCCTGCCTCCGGACACAATGAGTTTTGATGGATCTTCTAAAGACAACTGGTGTTATGCCTGGGGATCTTGGGGATTTCCTGGGGACGTCTGGATATGAGACGTGGGCTGGGTTCGAGCTGGTGTTTTGATTCTTTAGAGGCTCAGGCCTGTCGACCCTACAACTTGGGATATTTTGGGGAGGGTGCCACAAAAAAGAATCAGGTCCTGCCTCCCGACACAGTTAAGGGTGTCCTTAAAGAATCAGGTCCTGCCAAAACACTGTTTTTTTCGAGCTGGTGTTTTGATTCTTTGGAGGCTCAGGGCGTGTCGACCCTGCAAAACCTGGCAGTTTTTTCACAGTTTGGGGTATTTTTTGGGAGGGTGCCATTAAAAAATAAGGTCCTACCTCCGGACACAGTGGGTTTCGATGGATCTTCTAGAGACAATTGGTGTTATGCCTGGGGATCTTGGGGATTTCCTGGGGACGTCTGGATATGAGACCTGGACTGGGTTCGAGCTGGCGTTTTGATTCTTTAGAGGCTCAGGCCTGTCGACCCTACAACTTGGGATATTTTGAGGGGGGTGCCACTAAAGAATCAGGTCCTGCCTTCCGACACAGGGAAGGGTGTCCTTAAAGAATCAGGTCCTGCCAAAACACTATTTTTTTAAACTGGTAGTTTGATTCTTTAGAGGCTCAGGGCGTGTCGGCCCTGCAAAACCCGGCAGTTTTTCACAGTTTAGGGTATTTTTTGGGAGGGTGCCATTAAAAAATAAGGTCCTGCCTCCGGACACAATGAGTTTTGATGGATCTTCTAAAGACAACTGGTGTTATGCCTGGGGATCTTGGGGATTTCCTGGGGACGTCTGGATATGAGAACTGGACTGGGTTCGAGCTGGTGGTTTGATTCTTTAGAGGCCTGTCGACCCTACAACTTGGGATATTTTGGGGAGGGTGCCACTAAAGAATCACGTCCTGCCTCCCGACAAGGGAAGTGTGTTTTTAAAGAATCAGGTCCTGCCAAAACACTGTTTTTTTCTGAGCTGGTGTTTTGATTCTTTGGAGGCTCAGGGCGTGTCGACCCTGCAAAACCTGGCAGTTTTTCACAGTTTGGGGTATTTTTTGGGAGGGTGCCATTAAAAAATAAGGTCCTACCTCCGGACACAGTGGGTTTCGATGGATCTTCTAGAGACAATTGGTGTTATGCCTGGGGATCTTGGGGATTTCCGGGGACGTCTGGATATGAGAACTGGACTGGGTTCGAGCTGGTGTCTGATTCTTTAGAGCTATACCCTGCAAAACGATAAACATATTTATTTGTATAAATCAATATATGCAATTTGCTGCTTTTATCATATCTAGTCTCAGTTTGATTGCGTTTATTGAGCCATGTTTTGGCCAGCACTTTAAACATTGACAAACTCAACTTAGGGTTCCAAATTAAATCTCTAAAGAATCAAGGGGGAACTGATAACCCGGGTTGACTTATCTTTTAGCCAGGGAAAATTCCAAGAGGGATAACACCATATGATTTTCAAACGCTCTGTTTTCAAACGCTCATAAATGTGCAATAGTCCGGCGTCCCTGAAGAATGTCCTTGTTGAAAAATCAGTTGAAATGTGTTGTCAATATTGAAACTTGTTTGGCTCATCTGCGATACAAACGATGGCCGGCGCACAACAGCAGTTTTAGCAAATCGCAAAAATTCAAAGAGCTTGTCTATTGCCCCTCAAAATGCTCTCTCTAAAAAATCATGACCTAGGAAACCTTTGCAAAAAATGGGGACTCCGGGTTAGCCATGTGGAAAAATCATCTGTTTTTGCATTAAAAAAACGTTTTTTGCGACAACCCGGGTTGTTGCATTTTTAAAGTGGAAATTCCAAGGGGGATCATTTGCATGCAATCTCTCATCACGTTTTCATCTTCCATCTCACCTTCACGTCTACTGCTTGTGAGCATCTGTTCAAGCGGCAGGCAAGCTGGTTTTCATTTGACACACAATCCCAAAAACATTGATAAATATACCAAAAAAATAAAAAAAAAAAAAACAAGTTCCTAGAATCTTCCTAGGAAGGCCTCTTAAAGAATAGGAGACCGTTAAACAACAGGATTTCCTTAAAAAATAGAAACTGTTTTTTTTTTGCCGGCCAGGTATGTCCCTTAAAAAATACAGTTTTTTAAAGACATCATGTCCTGAACTCTTTAGGCTAAATTCCCAGGAGGATTATCTATCTATCTATATATCTATCTATCCATGTGTCTCTCTGTCTGTATGTCTGTCTATCTATATCTATATCTATATCTATATCTCTATCTCTATCTCTATCTCTATCTCTGTCTGTCTGTCTGTCTATCTATCTATCTATCTCTCTCTCTCTCTCTCCCTCTCACAATATCTCCATCTCTATATCTATCAATATCTCTATCTCTATCCCTATCTCTATCCATCTGTCCATCTATCCATCTGTCCATCTATCCTATCTAAATCTATCTAATGTAATGTAACCTAATCTAGTCTAATCTAATCTATCTATCATCTATCCACCTACATATGAAAGGGAACGAACTGCATCTACATTTACATGTATTAGTGTTCATCTATCCAAAAGCAGTGTCTGTCTTTTTGCTCTATGATAATTGTGTGCATGTCTTTTTCTCTCCCTCTCTCTCCCTCTCTCTCTCTCTCTCTCTCTGTCTCTGTGTCAGGCGTGACTGTCCACAGCCGTCCCGCGAGGACGCCCCAAGAAACATTGCAATGCAAGCCGAATGGCCGAATGGTCAGCCTGAAAAAGGAGGCAGCCCCCTAGCTGCCCTAGCTATCTACCTTTCATATCCTTTCATGTGTGCGTTCTTCCATGTGTGCGTTCTTCTCTCTCTCTCTCTCTCCTTCTCTGTCTCTATTGCCTTCAGCCAGATTTTTGCCTAATTATTTTCTTCACTACTCTTCTCCGGTTTTGCTACATGATTTACTTCTTTATCTACCATTGTGGGCTTGCGGTGCTTGCTGTCGAGCCTCTCAACTGTCGTCATGGTAGGGGAAAAGACCTGCGGCCGCTGATGCTGATGGCACCCCATGCCCAATGGATACCAATTGGCAACGACTCAAATTGATTCAAATCGCACACTGATACCGTCACCTCGGCAACAAGCTCATGCGGTGCACAAAGGCAAAGCCGGGCAGCCCTGAAGCTCCGGTCTGGTCTTTGGCAAGACTTACGTGGTGTTTGACTGGCTTGAGCAGACTGCATTGAAGGATCTTGGAGTTGATGAAGTTCCAAATGAGCGTGATTTTTTGAGACCACAAGTCATTCAAAAGGAGACAGTTATGCAGTTATGCTAGTCATGCTAGTTGAGGGATCTCCCAAGGGCTGCCGAAGGTGGGGTTTTCAGCGCATTGCATCTGCAAGTTGGTCTAAGCCACAAAACTGCAGCGGGCAAGGTCTGTAAACATACCAAGTCTGGACCCACAAATCGCTGGTCATTTCTGGTATCAAACTTTATCAAACTATCCCACAGCCACATACAGCCGCTTCATTCCCACAGCCCTTCGCATCACCATTTCCTGTGGGCCATGCATGGCCATGCCCTGGCGGCTGGAATTGAGTTCATGACTGGTCGTAATAGTTGGCATCCTCGCAGGCCAAACTTTGAGCTGATCACAATGAAGCCATTTTTAACCAACGCCTCAAAGAAAGTCAGCATTTTCCATGTCAGAGTGTACCGCAGCCTTGTTGACGGTATCATCCAACTCAGTCTTTTCACCACGGAGTCGACACAGTAGATCTTGGCCCATCCTTGGAGTGAAACCCACCAAAAAACACCCCAGGGCAGCAAAACCCGATTTCTTTCAGTGGCGCCCGTTGTGTAGCTGGGAACGTGGCGCTTCCCACAACTTGGTCAGGAGCACCTTGTTCGGCCCGCGGCGCAGATTGAAAAGCTGGTCTCGAAGCCTGCGTGTCAAAGAAGGCACAATGCAGAAACGCGTCGGGAAATGCCTTCATCAGTGATCCACACAACACATCAGGAAGATACAGGAAGGCAAAAGTTAAAGTGTTCAAGTTCTTTTAGGTGTGTATGCGGATGTATGCGGTATGATCTGCATACTGTTCCCATCAAATGTGTGGAGTACATAGAGCCGCTAGCTCGCCCTGCAGCCAACAACCAATCGGCTTTCAAGCTGCAGGCAGACAAGCATTTTGCTATGCAGGCGATGTCAATCCCAAACAATCTCCAGAGCGCAGTGGTCTGAAACTTGCCTTACAGGGGAATGAGATCCGATTGGCCATAATTTAACCTCTGAGACCTTTGCGTTCATTAATAAGCCCAAATACAAGACCTCTCCAAGGTACTGGTAGCCGTAGAGCTTGGCATGTTCAGCCGTTGCTGTCATGTTGTCGACTCGTGCTTGTGAGCACTTCTTGTCCTTAGCCCAGAACTCGCCATTTGCAGGTCGATCCCTAAGTAGTACGCGATGTATGGCAAGTTCATGTCAGTTCAGGTAGGGAACCGTGAAAAAGTGCATGATGAGAATGGATGAGATGTAGTGAATGTAGTGCAAGGAACAAGCCAATCACTCACTACACATGCAAAACCTGGCCAAAACTCTACCATTGGTTAAGCTATGTCAACCTCAACCAAAACGAGGTGACCGGGTGACCGACCCTAGCAGCAAACCCATCCATAAAATCCATAAATGATGAACCCATGAGGAGTGCCAAAGTGATCCAAGCTTCTGAGAAGACATGGTCAATCACTCGCGGATGCCCTTGTGATCCCTTCTTCGTGAGCAACGTCTCCAAGGGTTTGCCCGTTTCAGGGTCTACCTTGGCGTCGGGTGACAACTTAGCAAGATTCAAACTGGTGTGTGATGCACCCAATACCCAATCCCAAATAATATCAAATAATCCCAACCTCTCTCGACTGTTCGCCACATTCTATACCAAGGCCAATCAGGGCCAGGATACACAAGCGAAGGTTGGAGGACAGTTGGGGTAGACGTCCAGCAGTTTGAGGCGCCGCAACCTCGGCTGGAAGCAGTCCCCCCGCACAGTTTGGATTCAAAAGCACTTCAGCTTCCAAGTTACGATTCCTTCTGAAAACACTCGAATGCCAGGGAATCCTGAAAATGACATACAATGACAGCAAACGTTTCAAACGTCTGAGGATAATCCTTGGTGTCTTCATTTCGCAGAACCCGACATTTTGTTTCTCCTACCTTCATCACACGGGGAAACCCAGAACCCATCCTTGCTGAGATTGAAATCGCCACAAAGAATTCCTTAGAGCACTAGCGACATGGTCCATGATGCATGATGCACTGCACAGCGGTTGATTTCCATCACTTGTTTAAGCAAGGGTCGCTGCTGCGCTTTCCTGGAGAAGACTTCAAAACGAGACAGGGCCTCGGCACAGTTCCGCTAAAACATGTTTTTGCCCATTTCCCTAGCATTAAAGATCTACAAGAAAGATCCCAAAACGAAGAGAGCAAGTACTAAACCAAGGCTTCTAGGATAAAAGGGGGGAGTGTTTACAACATGTCAATGCTCAAGTTTCAGAAGTGTAGAGTGAGCAATGAAACTGAGTGAAAGCATGCACGAAAAAAAATGTATTGATGAATATTTGATGAGTTCCTCCAAAAATCCCCAGAGTAGTGAATGTGACATATCAATGATGCATGAACATATATATATATATAATATATAATCAATTATATATCCAGCCATTCATCCATCTATTCACAGAACTTCCGCAACATCCGCAGTGAACGGCCTCCAGCAACTGGTCCAAACCCACCGGGTTGGGCGTGGAGGCACCCCGAACACCAACACCAGCTTCCAAGACTTCCAAGCCTCTCCAGGTAGGCACCAGTAGTACCGCGCAAAGGGCGGTGGTGGAAGTTTCAAAGATAGGACATCTGTTGGGGGGCTGAAATGTCATGATTTTCTCTTTGTTTCCTTCTCTCTGTGTGTCTCTCCCTCTATCTGCTCATCTATTCATCTTTTCATCTACTCATCTATTCATCTTTTCATGTACTTCATCTATCTATCTATTTTATCTAATCTAATCTAATCTAATCTAATCCAATCTAATCTAATCTAATCTACTAATATAATCTAACCTAATCTACTAATATAATCTAATCTCATCTAATCTTATCATATCTAATCTACTAAAATAATCTAATCTCATCTAAATCTAATCTAATCGAATCTAATCTAATCTAATCTAATCTATCTAATTCATCTAATCTATCTAATCTATCTAATCTATCTAATCTATCTAATCTATCTAATCTATCTAATCTATCAACATCGATCTAAATCTATCTAATCTATCTAATCTATCTAATCTAATCTATCTAATCTATCAAATCTATCTATCTATCTATCTATCTACCTATCTACCTACCTACCTACATATCTATCCATCCATCCATCCATCCATCCATCCATGCATGCATGCATGCATGCATCCATCCATCCATCCATCCATCCATCCATCCATCCATTCTATCTCTCCAATCTTATCTTACCTTATCTTTTCTGTCCAATCCTATCTATCCCATTTATCCTCTCTATCATTTCTATCCTATGTATCCTATGCATACTATCTATCTATCTATCTATCTATCTGTCTGTCTGTCTGTCTGTCTATCTGTCTATCTGTCTATCTGTCTATCTATCTATCTATCTATGTATCTGTCTATATGTCTTTCTATTTGTCTATCCATGTTTTCTTGTCTATCTTTCTGTCTGTCTGCCTGTCTGAAAGGAAAGAATTCTGCCAGACCTCCTTCAAGAGCGGAAGGTGACAGGTCCAAAACGAAGCAATTCTGGGAGACTTCCACCAAAAAAATAAGGTTGACAGCTCCGAAATGACGGAATTCTGCGAGACGTCATTCAAAATTCGGAATTGCCAACCTCAAAAAACAAAGCAATTCTGCGAGACTTCCTGCAAAACTGAAAAGTTGAGTGCGCAGCTGACGGCCTCGTACCAATGCGTTTTGCGATTTTTCCACTCCATCCGTGGAAAGTATCGCGCCTGCCACGGAAAAGTGAGGCTAGGTCATACAAGGTGCTGCACCTGCCAAGCAAAATAGATCTAATTCTCCAAAATGGAACCCCTCTCAGGAAAGAAGCGTCCTGACCTCCTAAACATCTCTGATGAAGATGTCTCTTGTACTGCGCCTGCCACGCAAAATGCATCTTTATAGCTCCTCTTCAAACGTCCCACGCTTGCCATTGTTTGAAACTGCGACAAAACCCTTCACGTTTTGGCCACTTTTGGCAAGGTGCAGAATCCGTTGCGCCTGCCACGTAAAATGAAAATTCAACATCCAAAACTATTCCTTGCATTTTGTGTTGCTTCGGGCGTGCGCTTTTTTGACATCTCAACTTCCAAAAGTGGTCCGAACGTGTGTTCTTATGTGCGTTCAGCATTTTGACCTGGAAATGCCTCGCGCCACAACGGCATGCACTTTTTCGACATCCCGCTGCTTTAGCGAGCCTACTTTTCGACCTTGGGGGTCCTCAAAACATTGGAAAAAACACAGTGTTTCGCGACTTTTTCTACCTTTTCCCGCACTTTGATCTTCTCTCTCCTGGCTCTTTCTCTTCTGTGACTTCTTCTCTTCTGTCTTCCTTCTGACTCTTCTCTTGTTGCTGCATCTGTCCATAAGTCAGAAGTTTGACTTCTAAACTTCCTTTGATCAGAATTTATCAATATTGCATCGTCTTTTTTCATGTTGTGTCATTTTATAGTATTATAATGTATTATATGTCTGGCTAGTTTTCGCCGACTTCCAACCATCAGTCGTCATCAGAGTCGTCATCAGTTCTCATCAGTGGCTACTATACGAGTCATCAACTCGAAAAAACATGAAAAACTATGTAAGTCAACTAGATGCTTGGTTTTGACATGTTTTGACATGTAAGCATATTCAAGCCATGAGTGGCGCCCATTACATGCCATAGCCATCACTACCATATTACCAATATCACACATAGACACCCGCTTGACCCTGACGTCAATGGTCTACATCTAAAGCTGGAGCATTTTGGCTGGCACTCCCCAAGCATCGGCCTGCTGTAGTGTGGATGTTCATCACGGCAATCTTTTTGCCGTTGGGTCCCTCCAATTCCACCATGAGCGCACCTCTTTGGATGGCACTCCATTCAAACCATGCCTGTCTCGAAAAGGAAAAACTCTCGCTCCTGCCGTGCCAACCCATGACTTCACAGGAAAAAAACCGTGGAAACCACAAGATCAACAAGGAAACATCTTCCCTCCCCAGCCAGTCGATTTTTTTTTACTGATGAGAATGCATCTGGGTGGTGAAAGACATCGCATGTTGAAGGCACAGTCAGGACAAATTCTTTGGAACTGGTTGGTGCCTGATACCATGTATGGCAATATCCGACTGACTAAAATAGTAGTAAAGTACTGTTCGGTCTATTTTTGAGGTTTACTATATCCACATATTCACATATCATAAAGTGATCTCTCATGATCCTTCAACCCAACCTGTCCTCAGGATAGGGTATCTGGAGAAAACCCCAAGTCCAGCAGCTGCAAAGGTTGCTGGCCAATGTGGCCTCACTCGCGGCGACCATCAACCAAGACACTGCAGGGCGTTTTGCTCTCAGCCAAGTTGAAGGTCGTCATCACCACCAAAATTCAGCATCATGACCAACATCAGCATCGTCATCGTCACCATCGTCGTCGTCGTCGTCATCGTCATCATCAGCAGCAGCATCACCAGCATCACAAAGCAGCATCCAAGCATCCAAGCATCATCCAATCATCTAAACCACAAACAAAATCCGTGGGTGGGATAGGCAGTTATACCAAGTTATCCAGCCAAAATCCAAGGATTCAAGCATCTCGATGCTCGAAACCCGTTCGGTCCAGGTCACCAGCTTCCACTTGAAGCATAGTGCTCTAGCCCGCACCCGGCTGCGCACTGCCGAAGAAAGTCAACGTATGCATCCATGCCCCAAAAGACTGTAAGCCTCACAGTCTTGGATCCAGTTTCCGAGAAATCTCTATGCATTGACGTGAAAGCTGCTATCTGAAGCCAGAGGGCTCTTGCAGGCACACCAAATCCTGGGAGGCATCGAGACCCGGTCACCCTCTTCCCTCTGTTGGAAGCTGCGGGAAAATCATGGAAAATCCATTTCACAGATTCCCCCATTGCTACGGCCAAGCAGATGTCATATTCCACGATTTGCTGCTAACAATTTTCAGTCCCTATCCCTCAAGATTCCGGATCGAATCCACACGTAGCACGTTGGGCCAGCCAAGCCTTCCAATGATCCAAAGAATTGAACCAAAAGAACATTCAAGAATGGTGCGAACCAAGAATCACGCTCAGGAAGAAACTCTATGAAGCGCTCTATTCTCTTCTCTTGAGCGCAATCAACCACTCGAGGTGCAACGATTTGAAGTACCTTACTGCGTGGGAAATGTCCGAGACGTCCAAAAGAAGGCAAGTATTTGGAGTCCACTTTGAGTCCGCTTTTCCTTTCCATCCGACAAGTTTCCCTTGACTGTCAGGCCATTTGGCCACACATAAGCATCCTCAGCATGTCTCCGCTAGCAGTATGAGCCACTTTGACATCTTAGTTGCCACCATCAGAAGATTGCCACAAGGAATCATTGCTAGATATAGGAAGCCCAGGCCTCAAATGCAGAAACCAGCAAAGACGAAGATCACACACAAACGAACACAGTGTCTTGGGGGCTTTCAGACTTTGTGCTGGCATGAGGCAGCAAAGGCCGGAGACAAGGCCACCACCGATGCTTGCCACCAAGGGCACTGGAGCTACGTGGAGTAGTAGACCTGCACGGCTGTGGCCGCAACTTGGGACCGTGTTTCAACGCCTTCCTCGGCAGAACATGTCCAGCCTACAGTAAGAAGACACAAAGCATGGGTCAAGCACCCACATCTTCTCATGCCAATAAGCAAGTAGGCGAGCACACCTTAGATACAATGCTCACAGACTTAGCGGCGTATGAACATGCAAAAAATCCCAGCCAGCAAACATCTGGAAAACCAATGAAAAACACCCGTCCAATGCACAATAGATCACAAAATAGCACCCATAAATCTCCTCCGGCTAAGCTGATCATGTCCGCTATTCTCCGCTCAGGCGCTGATGGCCACTGGATGTTTGAAGTTCAGCCTCAGCACTGCAGACAGCACGGGCCGCGGCAGTGCGGTTTGTCTCAAGGCAAGGGGCACGCGTTGCCGTAGAAAGTCCACAGTGAGGACTGCAGTGACTGCAGTGATGAAGCCAAAAATTCCAGAGACCACGGTGTGCTTCACAGAACCACCTGGTGGCTGGCCATCCGATTTTTGTGAATGGTGGCAGAAATTTATGACTCACACATCAATATTCATTATATATATATGTGTGTGTATGTATGTGTATATATATAGAGAGAGAGATAGATAGATAGATAGATAGATTAGATTAGATTAGATTAGATTAGATTAGATTAGATTTAGATTAGATTAGATTTTGAATTAGATTTTAAATTAGATAAGATTAGATAGATAGATAGAGAGATAGAGAGATAGAGAGATAGAGAGATAGATAGAGAATGATAGAGAATGATAGAGAATGATAGAGAATGATAGAGAATGATAGAGAATGATAGAGAATGATAGAGAATGATAGAGAATGATAGAGAGATAGATAGAGAATGATAGAGAATGATAGAGATGTGATAGAGATGTGATATCACCTGCACAGCTGTAAGGCTTGGGCATAAAATGGATCCTTGCGACATCATGCACACGTTGGCCACCAGAAGCTTCCTGAGCCCGCCCAGAACCCAGGCAGTGAAGAGGAATGGTCAACAGTGAGGCCACCATGGTGTGAAGCCGAGACTCATTTTGAAGTAGATCTAAGCACAATCTAAGCACCACAGGCTGCCAGCTGCAAGCTGCTAACGTGGCCCATGCGCTGACAAGGTGAAGTCTTCGATCGATTGATACGCATTGATACGTTCTCTACAATTTTTCCGTTGGTGCGGGCATTGGTTAAATACACGCAAAAACAAGAGGTCTTTTCCTGCTGCTGCTCAAAATCAAGAGTTCAGTCTTGGGTTTGGGACGCAAATTCCATCAAATGTCACTCCGCAGTGGTCCCAAGCTTTGTGGAGTTGCTACATGTGCTTGCTTTGAAATGAGCCGTTGCTATTAGATCTGCCACCAGGTAAGCCAAAAAAGTTTGCATGTATGAAAGTCCACCTTCTGATCATGCAATTACGTATCTCTCAAATCAGATCTTATATACGCCCTGGCGACCTTATGATTCAAGTTTTGATGAAGCACCCCCTACTAGCAGACGCCCTAAGTTACCCCATTTACCCATTAGTTACCCCAACCGAAAGGCACACCGAGTTACCCCAGGGCAGACAGTAGTTACCCCAGGTGTCAAATCCCCAAGGCACAGCGGCTCAGATGCATCATGTTTTGAAGTCGTTGCAAACTTTGAATCATGTTATTAGGTTGCATTTAGCTATGCCCGGAATCAGAAAATGGGAAGGTGCGACCTGTCAACCTGGAGTCAAATCCCAATGGCACACCGCCAAAAGCAATTCCAGGTCAAAAGCTTAGCCAAGCATTGAAACAGCATCACCAGCTTGCGTTCTGGTATTTTCCAAAAAAACAAATTAAAGGGTGTCCATTCTGAAAAAAACTAAAATCCCACTGGCACACTTGCAGGAGAGTGGAAGACTTTCACGAAGTCGTTGCAGACTTTGAATCATGTCCCTAGTTGCATTTAGCTATGCTAGGAAGCAGAAAATGGGCAGGTGTGACCTGTCAACTTGGAGTCAAATCTCAATGGCACACCGCCAAAAGCAATTCCAGGTCAAAAGCTTAGCCAAGCATTGAAACAGCATCACCAGCTTGCGCTCTCGCATTTTCAAAAGAAACAAATTAAAGGGTGTCCATTCTCAAAAACAACTAAAATCCCAATGGCACACTTGCAGGAGAGGGGAAGACTTTCACGAAGTCGTTGCAGACTTTGAATCATGTTATTAGGTTGCATTTAGCTATGCCCGGAATCAGAATATGGGAAGGTGCGACCTGTCAACTTGGAGTCAAATCTCAATGGCACACCGCCAAAAGCAATTCCAGGTCAAAAGCTTAGCCAAGCATTGAAACAGCATCACCAGCTTGCGCTCTGGTATTTTCAAAAAAACAAATTAAAGGGTGTCCATTCTGAAAAAAACTGAAATCCCAATGGCACACTTGCAGGAGAGTGGAAGACTTTCACGAAGTCGTTGCAGACTTTGAAGCATGTCCCTAGTTGCATTTAGCTATGCTAGGAATCAGAAAATGGGAAGGTGCGACCTGTCAACCTGGAGTCAAATCCCAATGGCACACCGCCAAAAGAAATTCCAGGTCAAAAGCTTAGCCAAGCATTGAAACAGCATCGCCAGCTTGCGTTCTGGAATTTCCCGAAAAACACAATAAAGGGTGTACATTTTCAAAAGCAACTAAAATCCCAATGGCACGCTTGCAGGAGAGCGGAAGACTTTCACGAAGTCGTTGCAGACTTTGAATCATGTCCCTAGTTGCATTTAGCTATGCTAGGAATCAGAAAATGGGAAGGTGCGACCTGTCAACCTGGAGTCAAATCCCAATGGCACACCGCCAAAAGAAATTCCAGGTCAAAAGCTTAGCCAAGCATTGAAACAGCATCGCCAGCTTGCGTCCTGGTATTTCCCAAAAAACAAAATAAAGGGTGTCCATTTTCAAAAAACAACTAAAATCCCAATGGCACACTTGCAGGAGAGTGGAAGACTTTCACGAAGTCGTTGCAAACTTTGAATCATGTCCCTAGTGTTGCATTTAGCTATGCCCGGAATCAGAAAATGGGAAGGTGCGACCTGTCAACTTGGAGTCAAATCCCAATGGCACACCGCCAAAAGAAATTCCAGGTCAAAAGCTTAGCCAAGCATTGAAACAGCATCGCCAGCTTGCGTTCTGGTATTTCCAAAAGAAACAAAATAAAGGGTGTCCATCTCAAAAAAAAAACCAATGGCACACTTGCAGGAGAGTGGAAGACTTTCACGAAGTCGTTGCAAACTTTGAATCATGTCCCTAGCTTGCATTTAGCTATGCCCGGAATCAGAATATGGGAAGGTACGACCTGTCAACTTGGAGTCAAATCTCAAGGGCACACCGCCAAAAGCAATTCCAGGTCAAAAGCTTAGCCAAGCATTGAAACAGCATCACCAGCGTGCCTTCTGGTATGCCCATAAGAAACAGAATAAAGGGTTTCCATTCTCATGAGGGCCAAAACCCCAACGGCACACTTGCAGGCGAGTGGATGACTTTCACAAACAAAGTTTGAAATTAATCACATTGGAATCACACCCTGCCCTGCTGTAACGGAATCCGAGACATATGGAATATGGATGTAATACCAGAATCATGACTCTGGAAAGGTTTTTGGACGAGGTACCGGACGAGGTACCGGAATTACATTTTGCCATCCCAGCCAGAACCCACCCCACATATCCCCACGTCAGATCAAAAACTGTAAATAGTAAAAACGATGTGGATAGGTCCGAAAAATCCAAGCAATAAGGTCGGGAAGATGAGGTGGAGGAGGATAATGTTGCGGAAGATGAGGTGGAGGATGATGATGTGGAGGATGATGCTGAGAATGATGATGTGGAGGAGGAGGAAGATGATGATACTGAGGAGGAGGAGGAGGAGGAGGAGGAGGAGGAAAAGGAGGAGGAAGAGGACCGATCACAAGACCCCTGAGTGTGTACACACTGTGTGGGAAACTCACGTTGCTCCAGGGATTGTTAGGGGGCAAATGGATATAACTTGATACAACTAATGTTTGCCATGTTAAGAATCCCTGCGTGCCTGTGCGTTGTGCTGTAAAGATCATACCAAATAACAAATCATGTAGTAATTCATTCCAGTGGTTGTGTCACTTCTTCCGCATGGCACACCGAGATGAGACAACAAAGTGCTATCTGAGACAAGAAAGGGCTTACCCCATCATTGCGAGATCGCTTCTTGCGGGGGGGTTCCATTGCCATTGAAACACCAATCAAAGCAATCTTGGGCCAAAGTGCCCAATCATTCGCGCATCTGCTGATCTTTGCAGATTGAATTGAGGTTGTCTAAACCTCATTTTGTAACAATATATCATTCCACCAAAAGCCAAAAGGCACCGCTAAACTCCATAAAAGTAACCCAGGGATTGTTAGGGAGGCAAATGGATATAACTAATGTTTACAATGTTAAGAATCCTTGCGTGCCTATGCGTTGTGCTGTAAAGATCATACCAAATGACAACTCCATTCCAATGGTTGTGTCAGATCTTTCGCATGGCACACCGAGATGAGACAACAAAGTGCTGCCTGAGACAACTTAGGGCTTTCACCAAGTACTATCCTTGAGCACGAAAACGCGGTCCAAGTGTTTGGAATCCGATTTACTGAGAAGCAAAGAGATTTCAAGCCCTTTGGAAAAGCCTCAGGTTCACTGGCGCTCGTTGAACACCTGGCAATTCCAACCTTAGGAGCTTCCGCTCAACAGCTGTCGTACCAACTCCGGCGCGATAAAAATCTTGTGATACTTCTGAGGTGTTGTCATCTTGTCCAGCCGCTGATAAGTAGTCAGTGCCTCACCAGGGAGTTTGTTCAGCAAAATATATATATATATATTGTTTGCACGGTTGGGGCTGTGGAGCGTTGTATCTGAACTGTTGGCTATGCAAATGCCAGAACAGCGGGGGGCCCAGGAGAGGTTTGGTTCGCCGTATGAACTGGAAAGAATTTCACTCCCTGCCTGTTCCTTCAGAATGGGCAGGATTTTCTCCACGAACTTGATATCTGGCACGTTTTTCCAGTTGCCAGGCTCAAAAACTCGTCACCATTCCCACCAGGAGGACTGTCAATGATCATCTTCCCAGGATCATCTGGAATCCATGCATTTGTCGATCCATATATTTTTACTGTCGATTCTTGTATTAATCTATTAATGTTTGTAATGATTTGGATATACATATACATATATATATATATGTATGTATATTATATATATATTCAATCTATTCTCTAGATATTCTAATAACAATGATGTATATACATATTTACATATTGTACATGTTTGAAGCCACCAAGCAGCCCTTTGACAAACATCGTGAGCTCCGCCATCTGGTGCCCCAAGGGCTTTGATAGCTTCACGGCCCAAGGGACGGTTGGACCTTGGAGATGGCCCAAGGATGGCCCAACTTGAAATGCCAGGGTGAAATAGGTCAGAGCTAACTCAAACAACCTCTTGACAAGATTGAGGATAATTCGTACAAACAATTGTATAGTATTTAATTCCGTTGGTGTTTCAAATCTGATTCCATTCACAGCGGAGCTTCGTTCAGCTGATCTTAGCATAGTTCCAAGAATGCCCGCGGATGGGGAAATGATGATCATCCAGATCTTCCATTGGAATTTAAGGGCGCCCCATTTCTGGACAGGTCCCATTTAGCCGAGCTTGCGACTTGTTGGCACCTGAAGAAAATTTGGCAATGCTCAATGCAAAATGTGCATTGAGGCAGGATATAGCAGGAACTGCAAGTTGACAAACTACTCAAGCTGCCAAGCACTTAGGATCCCACTGTCCAGAAGCATCGCAGGTGTGAAACCTTGGTCATCCATCACCTGCCAACAGAATCGATGATACAGTTCTGACATGAATGAAGCAAGGGACACATGGCCCCTTCGAGGCTGGAAATCGATGAAACACTTTGAAACATCTGAACGATTTTTTTCCGCATTGCGGCTCTCATCTGTTCTTGGGTTCCTTCTGCTTTTGACCTTAGGATGAAGGCTGCAAACTTCCCATGCAAACACGGGCACAGCTGCACTACATGTGTTACATGTGCGGCGTGCGAAAGACTGAGAAAATGGCTGACCTTCTGTTCCAACAACCACTGCTGGAAGTTGGCACGATCTTCAATGCTGAGTTGCGCTAGTCGCTCTCTCCCTGAGTAGTGCTTCAGCGTGGGCTTCGTTTTAAAAAGAACAGTCTTGGTGGCTGTGGTGGAATTTGTCAACGATTACGCACTAAGAAAAGAAACACCGATGGCCGATGTCCTATGTTCTTCATCTCTGTCCACGTGTTTCTATTTGGCGGGCGCCCATCTCCGCAAACAAGTGCAAACAAATCGGACACATGACGCCCTGAACTCTTCTAACTTCGGAATGGTGGCCTGGAGAGCTTGGCGTTCGTTGTGACTCAACTGAAAGAAAAGAAATTAAGCCTAAAAGAAATTGATAAAGCTGCCAACAGAGGACATGGCTAATGCCAAAGTCAGAAGGGGGCTATGCAATAGAGACGGATGTTCAATCCCGAGAGTGAACACTTCAATGTTGCGTCCAGGTCTCTCGCAAAGCCTTTCATCTGCGATAGCTCCGCGGCCAGGGCCTAGGGAAGAAAAAGTAAAACATGAGCACCGCACGCATGGGAATTTTTTGTTGATGCGGTGAATTGTGGGTAATCCAGTGATACAAAGTGCCCAGCCTGCCACCGCAGCTGCTCCCTCTTCTGGAACTCCCGAAGCCTGGCGCGTTCCTTGGCGGCAAATTGTGGACATCGGTTTGGGTATTTTCCAATTGGGTGGAAATCGTTGGCTCGACTTAAAAGCACTGATGAATTGGGTATTTTTTTGGTGTTCGAAATCTTAGGCACACTCAAGATATAAATCATTTTCCCAAAAAAAAACTGCAAACAAGATGAAGCCCACGAACCCGAATGCTCACACGTATGTTGAAGATGATGGTGATAAAGTATCGATTATGATAGGACATGAAAATGTCAATGCTCACACCTATCGTAGAACAGTGGAACAACACCATTGCTCCGAATCTGTTTTCTCTCCGCGACAGCAGCACTGGCGTCGCAACGCAGTGGCGCGCGGCAAGCAGCGCCTTCCAAGACATGGCAGTCATGCGAGACGAACGTATCACACATGAAATGTCTTGTGTTGGGAATCACATGCGTCGATGCAACAAAATAAAATATATGGATCAACGAATCAGAAAGTATCGGAAACGTGTTGAAACATCCTGTAGTGGCACCAAGCACGCTCGATGCCTCCACGGCACTGGTGTTGCAAAGCTGCATCGCGACGCAGTCATCACCTGCCAGAACACACGAGCCAGACGAGGCACAGTTGTAGCCGACAAATCATTTTATGAGTTAACGAAACAGCATCTTGACGAAGACACTTCAATAACGATTGTGTGGGACAACGAAACAACCCAAACAAAAAGGAAAATAAGAACGGCTCTTGTTGATCTGTGCAACAAAATCATATCATCTTCAGATTGCAAAAGGAACAGGGACTTCTTTCTACCATCGCCGACGGCTGTAACATGTCCTGGGAGCTGCTCAGCAACAGCGAGGACAGCGCCACCAGCTGTCGCTCTATAGACAACCAGACAGATTTTGGTCATGTCCAACTTCTCACCAAGACAACGGAGTCACCAACGCCAGCTGTCCCTCTGTTGCCCGAAGTCAAACAAATTCGTCGAAATAGATGCCAAGACCAAACGAAGCTCACCTGGCCATTGCTGTTGCCAGCGACAATTTGGACAATTTCAAGCGGCAACAGCTTCTTGGTGATCTTAACTTTCAAGCCAATGTGCAAAGACAGAAATCCTTTCTGCCTTTGCACATTGGTCTGAAAGTAAAGATCACCAAGAAGTTGTTGCCGCCTGAGATTGTCCAAATTGTCGCTGGCAACAGACATGGCATTGTCTGGTTCCATCGGGGTCCTTTTTTCGTTCCGACAGAAATGGAAGCTCGATTGAATCAAACCTTGACGCAAAGCAAGCACAGGAAACCCGGGATCTCTGGCTGAACCGCCCAGCCACAGACGCTGGGAACTGACTCGCAAGGCACTCAGATGGCACGGATGATGAACTGATCGGGACAACGAAACAACCCAAACAAAAAGGAAAATAAGAACGGCTCTTGTTGATCTGTCCAACAAAATCATATCATCTTCAGATTGGAAAAGGAACAGGGACTTCTTTCTACAATCGCCGACGGCTGTAACACGTCCTGGGAGCTGCTCAGCAACAGCGAGGACAGCGCCACCAGCTGTCGCTCTATAGACAACCCATACACATCACTGAAGACATTTATTGCATGTTCAAAAAACAAATTCAATCTACTAGTCTTGTCTTTGACCAACTGGGTGTGATGAATGTATGTGCACGGGCATGATGCAAAATCATATCGGGCAGGTGCACAAAGCTTTGCTGCTCAGATGCGTTGGGATCGGATGCAGTTGAATGTCTTGCAGTTGGCCGCACTCACATTATTGCGGACATGACATCTTTTCAACATCCGTTGCAACAGCTCAGTAAGTCTGAATATTGCAACGGATGTTGAAAAGATTTATCATTTGTGCAAAACACAAATTCCGCCGGATGCACGGAGCTGTACCGATCAACCTGTGTAACTTGGTCTGAGAGTAAAGATCACCAAGAAGTTATTGCCGCCGGAGATTGTCCAACTTGTCGCTGGCAACAGACATGGCAGTGTCTGGTTCCATCGGGGTCCTATTTTTGTTCCGACAGAAATGGAAGCTCGATTGAATCAAACCTTGACGCAAAGCAAGCACAGGAAACCCGGGGTCTCTGGCTGGACCGCCCAGCCACAGACGCTGGGAACTGACTCGCAAGGCACTCAGATGGCACGGATGATGAACTGATCCTCAAGATCCGGTCTGAGAATTGCTTGTGTGCCACACGCACTTCCGCTCTCACCTGAGCGACCCGGCCGAACCCGCTGGCGGACCCAGGGCTCCGCCGGGCAGAGCGTCGAGGCTGTTTCAGGTTCAAAAAAAAATCACGGTTGCATGTTGAGTGGTTCAGCATGCTGTCTCTCGAGAAATAGCGTTGCGTCGTAGTCTTGACCTGCGCGGTCTTTTTTCCAGGCTGCCCGCTCGGGCAGCCTGGCCCACCCTCCCTACCTCCCCACATGGGGCCTGCCAGCAACTCTGCTGCAAAAGTTGCAACAGAAGCACCACCAGGCCACAGCAGAGGAGCTCCAGCATGGGAAAGAGCGAATCATGGGAATGCATGTTCCTCGGGGCCAACGCCACCTGAGGTTTGGCACCACAAACATCACTTAGCATGGGTTCGAGCAACAGAAGCAATGCAACACAAGAAATAGCATATCGCCAAGGACATCTATTGCTTGTTCTAAAAACAAATTCAATCTACAAGCTTTGCGTTCGACCAACTGGGCATGATGGAAGTATGTGCACGGGCACGATGCTATACATCATCTTTGCCAATCAACACAAAGCTAGTTCAGGAAACCCAGAATCTGTGGCTGGACCGACCAGCCACAGGCGCTGAGAACCTCTTCCATTAGCAACTCAGATGGCGCGGACGATGAGGATCTTGCAGTGTTGTCACAGACGACAAGACTTTTGTTTATTGTGGTGGTACGGTGCTATGAAAGGACGCAGCCATGCACCGTGCAACCACAATAAACAAAAATATTGGCTTAGCCGGCATTTAATTGTCTTCCACTCAGAGGCCTCGAATGAATCAACCTGCGACGCAAAGCAAATTCAGGAAACCCAGAGTCTGTGGCTGGACCGCCCAGCCACAGGCGCTGAGAACCTCTTCCATTAGCAACTCAGATGGAGCGGACGATGATCTTGCAGTGTCCTCATGAAAAGTCGACCGCACAAACTGCCTGCCCATTAGGTCACATCCGAGCGACGCGGCCGAAACCGGTGGACGATCAAGGGCCAGACGGGCAGAGCACGAAAAAAAAAACGAAGCTGTCATCGCCTGTGGTGAGAGTTTTGCGATGCATTTGTTTGCATGTTGAAAAATAGCGTTGCGTCGTAGTCTTGACCTGCGCGGTCTTTTTTCCAGGCTGCCCGCTCGGGCAGCCTGGCCCACCCTCCCTACCTCCCCACATGGGGCCTGCCAGCAACTCTGCTGCAAAAGTTGCAACAGAAGCACCACCAGGCCACAGCAGAGGAGCTCTAGCATGGGAAAATGCGAATCATGGGAATGCATGAGTACCCGTGTGCTTTGGTTCCTCGGGGACAACGCCACCTGAGGTTTGGCACCACAAACATCACTCAGCATTGCTTCGAGCAACAGAAGCTATGCAGCACAAGAAATACACGTCGCTCAAGACATCCATTGCCTGTTCTAAAAACAGATTCAATCTACTAGTCTTGCGTTCGACCAACAAGAAACAGCCGATCAACAGCCGACCACGATGTCAACATACACTGTCAACGTCATTCACAAGAAATGGTATAGTCTGCAAAGCTTTCTGCACATCAATCGAAAACAAAAGTCACCGACATCGTCATCGTCATCAGCATCATCGACGCTGTCAAATGTCATACACATCCCACCTTTCCAAAGTGACACAAAAGTCATACAGAGCCAGCAGCTGCAAGCATCCAGATGCAAGCTTCCCAGCGGCAAGTTGCCCAGGCGACGGAATCTGACCAACAGCTCGCTTCACAGAAAAACAGTAAAGCAATACCAGCAACAAATGATGTCAAAAATTATTTACAATTGCTGTACACGAGGTTTTCATATTCAATTGCTGCACAATCATACTCATTTTTCCGGGTACAGCAGTGCTGTAACCTGCAATGTCTGTCACTTCGTCATAACGACGGCCATTGCAACAAGGGGAAAGCCATATACGAACAATAAGAATCAAATAAAACATATCATCAACAGCTCATCACCGCCAGACATCCGCGCTCATACACACACATGCGGTGATAGAGATATCCGCATTCCCAATGCCTCCACGACAGCGCCAGCTGCCACCTCCCAAAGCAGCGCCACGAAGCAAGCGGCACCTGCCAGAACATGCGAACCACATGATGCAAAGACATCGGAAACATAGATACTGAGGCCATATGCCATATACAACCGAAACTCATCAAATAGGCATTAAATGAATTACAACAACAACAACAACAACAACAACAACAACAACGATAACGATAACAACGACAACAACAGCTGAAAACACAAGTTCAATAATGCTGAGATACACAAACATCAACGTTAGCCTGCGACCCCACGTCCCATTTTCCATTTCCCAGAAGCGAAGGTGTGCCGTTTCCGAACAGTATACACAAACCAAACCCCCACGATGTAGCCGTCTTTCGGACGGCCCGTCCACTGCAGGCATGCGGGTCCACTCGCAACTCCAGTCTCACACATTGATACTCAAACACAATGGGGCCAACGCCACCAATTGTGCGTCTATACGCTAGCATCAGCTTCCCGGTTCGACGTTGAGCACAAGCGAACCTTCCTTCTTTTCCCACGGTGGCAGTCGGGGGTCAGCACCGTCCTTCCAGCGATGCTCTTCCAGGTGGCGGAGGTCCACGTGGGTGTACACATCCAGTCGTTGCCGCAAGATCTCCGCGAAAGCGATGCTGCGATGTCTTCCCAGCGTGCTCTCCACACCCACGCGGATCGTCTTGCCCTGGCGGACTTCCTGTTCGATGAGCTGCTCGGCCTGCTGCAGCACGTTCCTGTAGCACGGCAAGCTCATCA